CCAGAGTCATAAGCTAGTATTGAGATCTTTTGGTTACCAATGCATTTTCCCCAGTTCAATATACCTGCATGACACTGTGTGGCATAGTGGTTAAGAAATGTGTGCCTGGTGTGGTGGCTCACACCTGTAATCCCAGCACTTTGGGAGGCTGAGGTGGGTGGATGACCTGAGATCAGGAGTTCGAGACCAGCCTGGCCCAAGTGGTGAAACCCCATCTCTACTAAAAGTATAAAAAGTAGTGGGTCATGGTGGCAGGCGCCTGTAATCCCAGCTACTCGGGAGGCTGAGGCAGGAGACTCTCTTGAGCCCGGGAGGCGGAGGTTGCAGTGAGCCGAGATCGCACCGTTGTACTCCAGCCTGGTTGACAAGAGCGAAACTCCGTCTCAGAAAAAAGAAAGAAAAGAAGTGTGGCATTGAGGTCAGAACATCTGGATCTTTTCCCCTTATTACTTGCCTGACATTGGCAAGTGATAACTCTATGCCTCAATTTCCTCATCTGTAAATAATAAGATTAATAGTGCCTATCTCATAAAGTGGCTGGCAGAAACTAAAAGAGACCATTTTTGTAAAGTCCTTAGCACATAATGCTCAATAAATGTTAGACTTTATTATTAATACTAATGTACATGATGATTTCACGCAGAGCCATTAATCAGAGGTATATTTTTTTGAAACAAAAGGTAAAGATGGGAACTTCGAGGCACACATGATTTTAAAGGGGAATGTAATAACAAAAAAATTGGAATCCTGATGAAAGGAATGTGTTTGCCTTTGTTTTATCTTCTATAGCAAAGAACCGAGCCAACAGAGGGTAAAACGATGGGGTTTCGGCATGGACGAGGCATTGAAAGACCCAGTTGGGAGAGAACAGTTCCTTAAATTTCTAGAGTCAGAATTCAGCTCAGAAAATTTAAGGTAAGACACATTGCTTGGATCTTATAAGCCAAAGAAATACTGTCTGTGATGTATCTGGTTATTCTGAAGGTAATAGATCCTCCACTAACATCATAATGATGTTATGAACCCACTGAATTTCTGCCACCTAATGAAGGGAAAAAAGATAGCAAGGCAAAGGCTGTCCCACGTATCAATTTCTTATAACTCATTTTTACACCGTCTCTGTGCCTCCAGGTGTTTTAACTACACAAACTTGGTGGCCTTGAAATGGACTCTGTAAAGAAATGCAGTACAGAGAGCAATGTTTGGCAAAGTGGAGATTGGCCAATAACATTTATGAAATTCAATTAAAATATCATCTATTTGTCAATGTTGACTATCTTTGCGTATCACTTCTCAAGCAAGTTAGAGAAGAAGAGACTGGGCAGCTATATCAAATAACTTGAAACCAAACTACTGGGCTGTCTCATTCTCTTTGCATGTTTAAATAATAGCCACAGGGCAATTGAGAGCAGCACAGCATTGAGCTGTTCATGAGACAGCAACACCCGTTCTGCCCATCTGTTGTAAACATCGTCTTTATATATTTTTAAAATTTGCTAACATAAGGAGGATCTGAAAATTGCATTTTTAAATATAAGACATTAGAGTGGATTTTAATAGCTCTGTTTAACATCTTTGAAGGGAGTGATAACTTTCCACTATATAAGACTGTTTTTTCATGAGCTTTTCATTCATTATTCTTTTGAAACCTGATGCCCAATTTTTACTTTTCCATGACTTACGCAGTCCTGCAAAATTCATTTGCTGAAAGTTCTCTGCATTCATTTATTTTCATTGGAACGAAGTAGTGCCAGGCATGGTCACATTCTTTTCAGGAGATTTAACAGGAATCCCAAACCATTCAGAAAGATGTAGGACGCTGACACATGTCACATGGATGAAGCAAGATGACCACAGGCAGAACCTGGAGGAGTGTAACTCTCTCTGTGTGCCTAGCATGGATTGCTGGCATGCAGCTTCCTATTCTCCTTTCAGTTTATGGGAATCCTTCATGCTTGGGCTTTTGCAAGATCTTGCTGCTAAAGTTGCTAAAGTTCTGTATTGAGCCTACTAATAACATTTTCTATATTGAGGTCACATTGTCAATGATTGAGTGCAAGAATTCATTAAAAGGCTAGGCACGGGGCTCAGGCCTGTAATCCCACCACTTTGGGAGCTGAGGCAGGTGGATCTCTTGAGGCCAGGAATTTGAGACCAGCCTGGCCAACATGGCAAACTCCATCTCTACAAAAAATAAAAATTAAAATTAACTGGGCATGATGGCACATGCCTGTAGTGCCAGCTGCTGGGGAGGCTGAGGAATGAGAATCACTTAAACCCAGGAGGTGGAGGTTGCAGTGAGCCAAGATTGCACCACTGCACTCCAGCCCGGGCAACAGAGCAAGACTCTGTCTAAAAAAGAAAAAAAAAAAAGAATGCATTAAAAATAAAGCAGTGATAAAGGATCCTTGAGGCATTTTAGTGGCTGGGGAGATGGATGTTCCTTTCATTCTCTAAGTTTTTGAAAACATGCTGGTATTATTTGTATCACGATGAGTAAATAAACAAGTAATAAACCTTACCAGCCTTGCCTAGCCAAATAAAAACATCTCCTTCTCTCATTAAAATTACAGTCTGTTAGTAGATACAGACGAGAAAACAAATTGCAGCACAAAATCCTGGGTGTTTAGTTGGGAGAAGCACAGAGGGATGCCTAGCCCAGAGTTAGAGACCAGCAAAGGGATACTAGGGGAAATTGCTTCTAGGCTAAGAGCTGGACAATGGGGAGGAGATAAACCATCAAAACAGGAAGAGAGAAGATGCTTTTGGAAAAAGAGCATGTGGATACTCAGTTTCAGGCATGAATTGAATTATTGCCAATTTCTTAGTTCAAGCTTTAATCATTTCTT